ATATATTCTAGATATAAAATAACGTTCAAAGCCCGTATCTCATTTCCAGTCATATCAGTGAGCATCCAAGAAAGCTCTAGAAAGGAGAAAGATGAATTTCGTAACCTTCAATCCTCCACATACCAAAGGAGATGATTATTGCAAACATATCCAGCACCCATTGACAATGAGCGTTCCTTGCTTCCTTAAACTATCCATTGTAAGAATTTTACCCCAAACGGCCTCCCAAGCAAAGAAAGCCAGAAAATGGGAAGCTTTTTCTTTCTATATCTGGTTCCACGAGAACGTTCATACCATGTTATGTTGAGACAAAAGGTGGTCTAGAAGCAGGAAGAACCAGTTGTCTTGTCTAAGTAGAAGGGAGTTAAGGAACTAAAAAATTAGGCGACTCAAGGCTCTTGAATATAATATGAATGGAATCACATTTGTTGAGTTTCTAAGACCTTGAACTATCTGCCTCGGTGGCTTTTGTCTCAAAAGTCAAAGCATCCTTTCTAGGCATCCTATATCTTGCGAGCCTTCTCCTCTACATGGCTTAGGGACATTAACCCATTTCCCTCCCTATTAAGTGCAGAGTCCCCATGGCTAGCTTTCATATTAAGTACAGAGTCATTTCCCTCCATATTACACTCATCCTTCCTAGGAATCCTACATCTTGAGAGCCTTCTCCCTTACATGGCTTAGGGACATTAACTAATTTCCCTCCATATTAAATACAGAGTCCCCATAGCTAGCTTTCAACCCTAGATATCCTCGAATTCTCATAACAAAAAACCTAGTTTTCCAATCCTTACTGTGGGTGCCTAGAAAACTTGAAGCTACTCATGGGTTTATGTGATGAAACCAACTATTATTTCTTCTTCTAACCAAACTATAGACATTGTCAAAACAAACTTAAGGTAATGAGAGCAGCCAAGCAATTACATAAGCATGAAGCATAAAAAATGCTTGATAGTGTTTAATTGCAGCCTCTCAAGGACCTTCTTATACATATTACAAAAATGTACTAAAAGCCCATTTAAGAGAAGGCTTCGCAAAAGCAAACCCCGTTTACCCTTACCTCATTCAGAAGCTCATAGGAAGCTAAAGAAATAAGAGCAATGGAAGGAAGAACTTGGTAATAGTATCTAGAAACTTGCAGGATTGGGAAATTGTTGAACATGAAAACTTGCTCCAAATTTTGGCATATATCCACCTAACTAACAACAACGACAAGCTCCTTTGGCAACAAACCAAATCTAAAACTTTCTCAGTTAAGTCCCTGTACAAGACCTTGGTCAGCAATAATTCCCAAAATCAATCAAAATTTCCATCTAATATCATTTGGAAATCAGGTGCCTCTCCAAGAATTTTCTTTTTTTGCATGGGAAATAGCAAAGGACCGCATTCTTACACATTATAATTTAATGAAAATAAGTTTCACAATGGCTAACAAATGTTTTCTTTGCAAAAACAACATTGAAACTTGTAACCTCTTACTCCTTGGATGTCCGGTCTCTCACAACCTCTAGTATTGCTATTCTCGATCTTATGGGATTATCATGGGTCAGAAATGTCTCAATCTTGGATGAGCTGCTTGCTTGGGAATGATTGAGCGACAATAAGAAAATTTTTAGACTTGTCCCTCTCACTATCTTTTGCGTTCTCTGGAAAGAAAGAATTAATCGTACTTTTGAAGAAAAAGAAATCAACTTTGGAATCATCACTGACAATTGGTTCAACAACTTCAGATCCACTATTTTAGAACATAACATTGAATGTTTTGATGATCTTGGATCTATTGTCGATTGTTTAATCGATATGCGAATTTTTTATTAATAGGAGTGCCCCCTTAGCACCTTTACATCAATACATTTTCATATTTTTATTTTAAAAAAAATGAAGATTATCTTACCAAGAGCCTTTGATCCCACACAACTAGGAATGGGATCAATCAGAGTCGAAGTCTCCTTTTTTTTACCACTCTTCTTCTTCCTACAAGAAAAAAAAAATAGAAAATAATCTCTAAAGGAAAAAAGGCCTCGTGCTCAGGCAAAGAAGGATGTACCAATGAGCAAGTCAAGAATGGAACATTGTGGTCTTTTCTTAGAAGAAAAATTACAAAGCTACCATGGACGCAAAATGGAAAGCTTGAAGAAAAGAGGAAGAACAGATAAAAAGGAAGAAGGAGAAGAAAGAGTAAAAAGAGGAAGCGTGCATTTAAGAAGCAAACACTAAAACTTGGAGACCTTCATGGAACAACATCTAACTAGCATAGGAAAAGAAATGTAAGAAGCTGGAGATGTGAAAGCAAAGTTCGGAGGTGGTGAGTGCCCATATATACTTCTCCTTTAGTACCAAGTGTATGCCCAAGCTCTCAACATTCCATAAAGAGTCAAAGATTTCATCAGCCTCAAAACATGATCAACCCCAAAAGAACATCCGGCCTTCAAAGCACAGTGACTCCCTAAGATGAATTTAACCCATAGGGCATCTTCCACCTTTGAAACAAATCCACTCCAGGGGACTTTTGGCTTCCAGTGAATGCGTCATTCTCACAATCACATTTGGTGAATCTGCATCCCTTCAAGTCCCTAGACAACACATAGCCCCTGCAAACTACCCTATGATAGACGAATGCATGACAAGCTAGGCTACTCAGCTTCAGCCTACTTATCATAGAAGCTACCGATCCATCCTTGACGCTCATAGCATAATCACATGAAAGTTGAACACCAACACCTGATGTAAGGCACCAACTTACCTCATTAAGTTCCCTCTAGAGACACCTCATTCAGCCTCCAGCTAAGGACCGAGATCACTCCTTTCCCATCTCCCATCTCGACCTGCACTCCTGTTTACTGAGTTGTATGTCGGAGTCACCATATCACGAAAACACTGGACTCTGGTTCTAACTGTATTCTTGCATAACCCCTGGCTTGTTGTTCTATCCGTATTCTCCGATGGAGTTCATTGATAGAAAATAATTATTTCCGGTGTAAAAGTACACCATCAACAGGCAAAATATATGGGAAATAACCAGAATTACAATTAGAGAAACACACAACGTACACAGAGCGAGATGAGAGATTATGATTATTCCTTTCGTGTCTCTTATTTGTTTCCTATACATGTGTTCTACTGGGTAACATTGGGGCCTTAAAAATTAATTACAATCTCTACCATTTAAAAAAAATAAAAAAATTCCATTCCCGACTAAAGGAAGCTCCTCGGCAACCAAAAAAAAAAAAGAAAGAAAAAAACATAAACTCATGCTAAATTTACACAAGTAAAACCTCAGATCCAATATAGAAAAATGTTGAACTGGACATCAAATTCCTCTTTCCATTTTCTCCGGAAACATACCGAACGCGGAAGAGAGAATTCCAAAGAAAAAATAAATAAAAATCTAACCTCAGAGAGAGCTAATCGGAGTGAATCGAATAGAGAAGAGAAGCTCTCGGCGATGGCCAGAGTGTCCCTCTCTACCACCCCCAGAACATTCAAGATCGCCCCCCGCTTCTGCGGCGAGGGTTTCGATTCACTACCGCCGAGACCATCATTATCACCATCTTGGGGGGGCTCGCGAAGCGTGTGTGGTGAATCTACGTCGACCGCTGACTCTAGGGATTCTTGGCTTCTGCGAAGATCTTGGCCTACTTCCATTTCCCGATAGTTTGTACTTGTTCTCAGTACGAGCGAACATAAAGGCCTAATTAATCAAGTAAAAGCAACAAGAGAAAATCAACGAACAAGAGAGTACATAAAGGCCTGAGTTACCACTGCGCTTTTTGTGTATAATTTCTTTTATATTCTCCATAGCAATAGTTATGAAATTTAGGCTCAAAAATAATATTTCTATGAGATTTAAAAAATCATTGCTATTAGTAGTTGAATTTGTATAATCCTATCAGATACACCGACAAATATCTCTTATCTAATTTTGTATTCCACAAATTAATTATATAAGATATATGTAGACAATATTGTAACAATTTCATTTCATATATACGTAATTATTATTTCATTAATAAAAAAATAACCTACTCAAATTTATTTACTATTGCAAATTTCATTGACAAATGTTCATTTGTATAATACAACTCGTTTATAATGAAAGAAGCAACATATTTTTACCATGAGCTCGTTTATATTTATAATGAGTAATAAAAAATACTTTAAAGAAAAAAAGTGATTCAAACTACTTAAAAATTAATTTCAAATGGGTAAGTCCATAGTGGAAAGAAAATCTAACAAGACATTAAAATGAAAGGAAAAAATAAAACTTTATACATGAAATGAAAGATTATAAAGATGAAAAAATACAAATAAGAAAATTTTAGAATAATAATAATCATAAAAAATATATTTTATTTAGTCATTAAAGACTGTTTAGGAAATTCATAATCATCCCAAAGCTTTACAAACAAATTTTTTTTCTTGGTACTACTAAATAAAACTTTTTATATGTTGTATTATTACTAAAAAAAATTAAAATAAGAAGTGGGTTAAGATTATCTTATTTGATCGATAATAAAAAAAAATGAGATTATTTAAATAAATAATTTCATAATTGAAAAATGAGCTCTCTCTCTCTCTCTATCTTTCCTCAACAACTATTACTTCGAGAGAAAATAGAAATTTAAATTACAACATAAAGGCATAATTATTTTTTAAAAATATCTTATTTTAACTATGTGATAGTTTGAAATATAATTTTTTGAAAAATCATATTTTTAATAAAATTATGATGCTTAGAAAAATACATTTATTTGGTCTATTTTATCAGTACACTCTCTTCTAGTTTAATACTTGTTATAAACTTACAAAATTATCTAAATTATCGACGGTGATACTTTATAACTAGTTTTTTAAAAACAAATTTCAACATAATAAAAATTTACATAAAAAAATGTATGTTTGAATTATTATATTATGACCTATTTCCACATAATAAAAATCTATAGATGAATACATTAATAAATATTTATTAATTAACTAACTCACACTTATGAACAAAAATAAATAAATAAATAAATATCTAGACATCACTATTTTGAAAAGTGTTCAAATTAAGCCACCTACATAATTCATACTTAATTGAACATTGTACTTTATATTACATTTAAATAAGCCATTACCTTATGAAAAGAAATAATTATCATTTGCTTGCATAATTATATGTGGTCCATATGGTTAGTAATGGACACATAAGGTGACAAATTGGTTTAAGAATTATCAACTTAATAATGTTTTGGACACTATTAATAAATTAAACCAGAGACTTTGAAAATAAGTAATTCTGGTAAAAAAAAAAATTATAGTAATATTTGGACTCATTGCATTTGCATAATATTAAAGCATGTATTAGTTTAGTGATTACGAGTTGATAATCTTAAATTTTATGAATATTTGAATTGTAATTTGTAATTATAATATGTGACTTTTGCGATAACATCAAATATTTATTTGATAAATTATGTAATATTATAATTTTACATTAAAAAAATATATAATTATTAAATATATTGAGTGCTAGTAATTTGAGTCTAAAAAATTATTAGACAGGTGATTTTTGAATCCGTGGTATTAAAACATATTAAATTAATACTAAAGTAATTAAAAATTCTTCAAATTTTGTATTATACCCCATTCATTTTGTGAAAATTAGAATTCAATTTTTAAAGTAGCGAGTTATCAAAATAGTAAAAACTCAAAAATATTTCTTTCAAATTTGTAAGAAATTAATATTTTTGATATCTCAATAGAAAAATTAAATTAAACAATTGGTTTATTGAAATTATGTGACCAAAAGGCAAAAATAAAATCATCCAACCATACGTGAAGTGACAAACATAAAACTCAGTTGTTTTATAATGAGAAAGTATTCAATAACCAATAATATGAAAATATATTTGCAAAGTTAATGATAAAATTTAACTTAATTTAATAATGTGATTAAGGAAAGACTAAGGTTTTTAACTTTTAAAAGACAAAGTTCTCAAACTTTTCTATTGAAAAATTATGTATAGGATAAAGTAATTAAGAACTCATAACC